CTTATGATTCTCTGCTCCCTCGAACAGCACGCAAACACTCTCCAGCACGCAGCCATTGGTGATGAGGTTGCCTCTGCAGAACTGCATGTGCCTCTCTCTCTCTCCCCCCATCTCTCTCTCTCCTCTCTCTCACACACACACACACACAGGCCACATATGAACATGAAGCTATATACAAAGAATATATATATTATCGTACCATCAGTCAATTCGTAAAGCTAAATATAAGAATGGGGTTTCAGTTTGGTGATTCTTGGATTTAACACAAACCAAACACGCTTGTATGTACATTTTCTTTGTGAGATTGTACCAAGAACTAACCCTCTCTCTCTCTCAAGCTTTATTTATTTATTTATTTATTTTCTTCTCTCCCATACTTTGATTTGCTCCCCTTTTTAGGAGAAACCCAAATTGTTGTTTTGGTTTTGGCTTAGTCTGTGTTCTTCATATTCACATCCTTCTCTGTCTGTTTTTTTCTCTGTATCATCAAAAACCCTAAAAACCCTCTTTGTCATGCGCATTCCCCCTCTAGCAAGTTTTTGTCACATGTTAACTCATATCTTAGCCTTCCTCCCATCACTTTTTGTTTCTTTCTATTTGTATCTAAGTTTCAGCTAATTATACTGTTTGCTTATTATGCCTTTGTTTCTCTCTAGCTTTGTTTATTTACCTTTTCTCCTCTTCTTCATCTCCGCACACTTAACTATCAACTTCACAGATATAATATGCATCTCTTTCCTTTTCATTCTCTTTTAACTTTTTGTTTTTAGTTTTATTTCTAATCATCAATTAGGAAAATTTGCTGAAACAAAAACCCCTCATTACATAATTTATTGTGCACAGGCACATATACCTAAATTCGTAGGCCCTCCTTGAATGGGTAACTCATTTTGAACACGAATAACTATCTTGTGCAACTATCTTCCATTGTACACCTAATTGAAAATATGTTGTAAATAGTTGAAAAAGAGTTACACCTGTTGAAAATACACTGCACCTGAATCTTTAAATAAATTTTAGGTGCTTTTTGATAGTAAATTTTGCAATGGGGAATTTTTTTAGTGCCAATCAATTATCATAAAATTTTATTTTTGTGTCAATATAAGATACTACCTCCGGTCCTTAATATAAGATCTCGTTTGAATTTTATTTCGGTCCTAAATATAAGACCCCAATCCACTTTGTCTCTCATATTTATGCATATTTTTTCAACATAGTCCTTAAATAAATTTTAGGTGCTTTTTGATAATAAATTTTGCAATGGGGAATTTTTTTAGTCCCAATCAATTATCATAAAATTTTATTTTTGTGTTAATAGAAGATACTACCTCGGTCCTTATATAAGACCTCGTTGAACTTTTATTTGGTCCTAATATAAGACCCCAATCCACTTTGTCTCTCATATTTATTCATATTTTTTTCAAATAGTCCTTCTAATAATAATAATTCTAGCTAATACACTTGATTAATAGGAATGTTTTAGGAATGACAACATCTATTTGTTACAAAAAACAACTTAACTTATTTCTTTAATCTCCTCAATTAGCCAACTAGTCTTATTATTAGGAGCGGAGGTAGTATATAGAAAACGCATTGTTCTCACTCAGCCCATGGACAATAATACAGCTTTTCTCTTATTTAAACTTCAATAAATATGATTCTAATCACTATAATTGATGGACATGGTGAAGCATATTTTGTCATTTTGTTGTCGAGAAAAAGACCCTGAAATCCAAACAAACAAAGAAGCACTACACAAAAAACCTTAACAGGCGCGGGTACCTGAAAACATAATAATATTAGAACAATCCAAATATAACGTGCGTCAACCCGTGAGATATTTAAAATTAGTAATAGTGATTAGCAGAAACACTCAGAGGGTATTTGGGGCAAGGAAAGCAAAATCTTTTTCCTTTCTTATCGTACTTCTGAAAAAATCGCAAACTGTAATATTCATTATTATATTAACTATTATTTAATCGAACAATAATTGTTTGTTTTTTATTATATTTTATTCGTATTTTTCATACCACTTCTTTATTGGGAAAATGATAAGAAAAGACCAAATTCCAAATCATATATCTCACAAAAATATGTTATTTTGCAAATCCAATGTTGTCAAAACCTTTTATAACGAATCCTGATTTGAAATTTAGTAATTTTTAAAGTCTTTATTTCACTTTATTTTTATCATATTGTATTAAACATATCAAACTACTTCAAGCTTAAGGAAGCACATCTTTTGCACTTTCCATAATATGGCCTACATATTAGAGATAAATTAATTATTAATTTGAAAGGAAGAAGACTTGAGAAAGAATCATGGACAAGTCACGACAAGCTAGAGGAGTCACTTTCAACCAAGACTTTTATAAACCTAACCCAACTCTAATTAATATTGAGAACATCCAAAACATTTCATAATTTTGTAAGGGAAGGAAAAGTGAAATTCCACATCCATACTTGAAAAAAAAAAAAAAGAGTCCACTTCTTCTGATCACTATCATAGATAAAAATTGTCGTAACCAGTGCGACTAAGATTATCTTTTAGAAGCCAATCTGCCTTCAGAGCTGTAGATGCCACACTAACAAACAATTGGTACTCCACAAGCACTATGCAACTTGCCTAAATAATTAATTTTTCTTTTGGTACCTAAATTTTAGGTAGGAGCTCGGCTCAACCCAAGCCAAAGGCAGAGCATTTGAATGGCTCTTTCCGGTGATCAATGTTGGACAGGACAAACCTTCACTATACCCTCAAGCATTAACCTAAAAACCCTTATTCTAAGATGCCTCTCCAAGTACCGCCATGGGACCTTTCTTTTTTTTTTTTTTTTTGGTATAAAAAAATTTAGATGAGTTGAGTCCTGAAAGCTCATCAGGGCCATGGGACCTCTCTTTTGATCAAAAGGGTGTAGTGCTGAACCCATAATTGATAATCTCAACTATCATAGGATTCCATGATTTTGTAAGAATAACAACGAGAGGATGATCCCCCACCTGAAAATAGTGTGAAAGGCCCCTGATAGATAAGCCCACGTAGAAGCCCAAAAGAAACTAAAAAAGCCCTGCCCAAACGGCCACTTAAGTTTAAAAAAAAAAAAAGTAAATAAACTTTTTGATTTATGAATGGGTTAAATGGCAAATTAATGCTAGGGTTTTCTGGCGAGTGCGCGTGGAAGAAGTTCATGATTGTGTACCAAGATATACGCTTTGCAAAGTATTAAAAAAAATTATAATAAGGTCTCATCTAAGAGAATTAAATAGAAAAAAGTCTCTTAAAACTATCAAATTATTTTAAAGTTCTAAGAGATTTCATTGCAAGATATTTTTTTGTTTAATTATCAAATTGCCCTTATTTTTTTTAAATATGTATTGACAATTGAAAGAGAAGTTATTAACAACTATCACGGTATGTTAACAATTATCACGGTATATATTAACAATATATTTTCTCAACGCATCACAAAAATATAATACATAAGTTGGTAATATCTGCCGCAATAGTTGTTAATAGTTACATGTTAAGTTACTAATGATTGTACTTTTAGTTATCAATGCATACTTAAAAAAAAGAGGGTAATTTGATAATTAAAACAAATAGAATTTATTGCAAAAGACTTCAAATTAATTTGATGATTTTAATAGACTTTTTTGTATTTAAGTCTCTTGAATGGGACCTTATTACAATTTTTCCTAAAAAAAGTGTTTATGTTGCTTATATTAGATCTATAAAGTATAAAACTAGTGTGAAAGCATTGAGAGTTGAGACAAAAGAGTTCCCTGTAGGAATTGGTTTATACTCTATCGAGGATCATCCTTAAGATATATTATTTTTTGCCCTTAATATAAGAACTAGATAACTAATTTAGAAATATTAAGAAAATTACTTAAATTGGTTATTTATCACATCTGTATTGACCTTTCTAAAATATCATCTTCAATTATGTGTATTGGATAATGAGAATTATCCCTTGATGAGAATCTCTTGCTATCAATAAGAATATTTTAGGAAAAAAAAAGACTGTGAATTGAGATGCTATATTTAGACTCAAATCTAACCCTCCAACTAAGCTTTGTATTAGGGCTCAAAGGTAATAATCTAGATGGTTGAAATGATGAAAGGCATAAGGAGTTCATTTTGATCGCAAAACTCCTACTTAGCTTGATTGTAGATTTTATTGAACCGCTAGAAAACCAATGAAATTATATGATACTGAATGTTAGGCTTAAAATTGGGGTAAGCCAAGATCTGTCATAACCATATTATAAGATAACTTGGTGTGAAATTTATTGAGGAGAAATTATTTTTTTAAAAAATCATTTGGTTACATGCAAAGAATGCCAATGGAGGCACTAATAAGCGGGTCTGAACTAATATGTTTTTTTTCATAGAAAGATCAAAAGCTGTATATGATACAGAAAAAGGATTTCAAAGTTAATAATTACAGGGATCCCATAGAAGAACCTAGAGGAGGAAAGCTAACAAAGGAAATAATGCACTTTGACTGATAATGGGAAAAGAAAAGGAGGATAGGTTAAATAGTCTAAGAATATCTACAGCTATAATACGAATCCCTTTCGAGGAAAGCGTTGCCATGGACATGATATGCTTTTTATGGCGGACAAACTTCAACAAGCTAAGATTTAAGGAATTAGAAGAACTAGCATATCTTGAGATATGTGGGAGCTGATAATTTTTAGCCCCGTAAAAAGAGGTAGGAGAATAAAAAGAACACTAAGAAAAGTTATCAATCCAGATACACTGTTTAATGGCATATAGCACAATGATGTTTTATAAATAAATAAATAAAGGCACAATGATGTTGCATGATGAATATAATTAGACCCACTTAGTACAATAAGACTATTTTTTTAATTTAATGCCGACTGAACCACGCAATCAATGGCGAGAAAAAAGAAACTTGAGGTCCGAGTTTCATTGTTTTACGATTTCCCACTGTATGTTCAGTGTTCACCTCCAAAGAGACAAGATTAAAGACAGTTAAGACAAATTTCAAACTTGCAAAAGACAATTTGAAGCTACAAATAAAATTGAGATCAGGCTATTAGTTTAACACAGAACATCTATGTCACTTTGTATAAGATTGACACAATTTATTTTTAAAAAAAATATGTATACCATTGTTGTTATGTGAATAACATGGAGAGGACTATGTTCAGAAGGGATTAGTCCAGGGCATCCTCTTGCTTCGTTTGCTCTTCCCATCTGACTTGGTCCTTCACAACTGAACATGATAATCCCCTACTTTGAATGCGGCAGCTTCTCCAGAGCGTCACTAGCAGTAATCAATATGATCTGAGCCATCGGATTAAATGTTATCTAAAGTCTTGATTCTTGTTCAATATAGGACATCCATTATACTTACTTGTGACATAATCCATCTTTAATAAATTGAAAGGATTAGTTCTGCATTTCTTTAACGACACGGGATCCACCTTTCACTTCGTGCCTGAGTAATCTTGACGTGGAACCATCATTGTTGAGGAGGATGATCCTTGAAAAGAACCATATTACAGTGAAACCAAAGGGTAACAGACACATCTTCCAGTATATTTGTTGGCATTCTAGTGATCCATGGCCCATCTTCATGCACTCCTCTTGATAGATATGCAGCCCACTCTGACAACTGATGGATCTATATAGTATTTTGTGCAGACTTGTCCGCAATGATTATTATGATAGAAAATCTAAACAAGGAGAACACGGGGGTGGAGTGCAACAAATTACCGTATTTATCTGGTTAGAAATTAAAATAATATAGTGGGATCGGTATATAAATCAAATTTAGTGGCACATATTAAAGGAATGACTTGAGATAAAATCAACGCCAAAAAATTCTAAACAATTGCCTCTAATTGGATAACATGAATGAAATTCACACACAAGGCACATAATCCAGCCAGTATCATTCCCGCATAAGACACAATTAAAGAGCATTGACGTGCTAAATTTCATTACTTAAAGTCAGACATGCAGAAAAGATTGCATATATGAAAGCCTAATTTCCATAGTAGTTCCATCTAAATATAAAGAATACTTTCACAAATTACGTGAGCATTTGTCCACAAACAACAAGCTACTAGTTTGCTAAGAGGCATGTAAAGTCCAATGTATCTACTAGTGGGAAAGAGATCATCAAAAGTATCACAAGGCACTGTTTTCCTTTATATAAGATAAAGTATGCTTATGTTCAAATAGCCACCTTATAAGGAAATCTACAGCCTTTAAAAAAGGAAAATAAAAAAATTAAAGATCAAACCAGGCTACATCAATTGTTTCTACAATTTTAAAACTGACTTCAATTAAGCATGCAGAGTCCCTTGGTCTCAGACTCTCAGTACAATTCATCTTTATTTACTTCAATCATATTTTCATAAGACATATTAACTATCAAACACATTGTATTTTGTTTTAATAAATTTTGTGTATCACATTAACAAAACTAAGATACCTGAGCATGGGAATAGGCTATCATTATGCTTAAGCACTTCTCTCCATTTATTTAGGTTTGGGCGAGTGTTCTTCAATGCTTGTATAACTGTGTACGTCCCTGAAAGCAAATAGAGAAAGCAAAAAAGACATCTGTAAGTCCATATGCGTGTTATGTAAAACTGTAATTTAATCTTAGTGGTCAGTACCTTCCAAGAGGTTTATGGATGACTTCTCAAATATAGGAGTACATGTGGTTCTATGAGATATAGAGAAGTGCTTGGATGTGAATTTGGGGGACTTGTTTCTAGAACTAAATCACCAATAGTCCTGACAAGAACAATATCCACCCTTGAAATGATGGAACCGCTTAACATCACGAACAACTATTTCTCTATCGGTTATGTCTGAGACAAGTTTCATATAATTATGGCAGTCACCACAGATGCGGAGGTTTTTAAAAATCCTGATCTGTTTCTTAGGGGTAGTGCTCAATAGTGCAAATGCAAGAGCCAGCTTTTCACTATGATGAATGAGATAATCCCGTTTCTCTTCATCATGAACTTTATGAAGAACATGTTCTATTTGGGGGACATAACCCACTGATCTGAGTTTTCTATCCAGCTCTTCCAACTTCGAATGAATTTCCAGTATACTTGGATGCACTCCATCAGACACAAAGACATGTACTTGATTATTGATCTCTACCCAACTACATCCAGGTTCCTTTTTCACACCCTGGCTGGACATCAAGGCCCTCACTTTTTTGACCTCTGTCCACTTTTCTTTACCAGCAAAAATGTTAGACAGCAATATGTAATTTGAGTCTGTCTCAGGTTTAAGCTCAAAGATCTTCTCTGATGCTCGTTCACCAAGTTTAATGTTTCCATGTTTTGCGCATGCGCCCAAAATGGTCTCCCAGACTAAGGCATTATGTGTCAAATTCATCTCCTCAACTAGGCTTTCAACCTCATCAAATCTTCCAGCACGGCTGAGAATATCAACCATACAAGCATAATGCTCATCCGTAGGACTTATGCCATACAAGCTGCTCATGCAATCAAAGTACTGTTTCCCTTCTTCAACAAGACCAATGTGACTACAAGCAGAAAGAACACCTATAAAGGTAACTTCATCAGGTAAGTAGTTGTTGTCTTTCATTTCTTCAAAGATCTTGAGGGCCTTTTCTCCTTGACCATGTGCAGAAAAGCCACATATCATAGTGTTCCACAATACCGTATCATATCCAACCAAGCCCTTAAATATAATCTCAGCATCTTCAATGCGCCCACATTTTGCATACATATCAACAAGGGCACTGGAAACAAACATATCACACAGATGTCCACTCTTAATTACCATTGAGTGAAGCTGTCTTCCACTTTCAGTGGCAGTAATTCGGGAACAACCACTTATACAACTAGCAAGAGTGAACTCATTGGGTTTTACTCCTTCTCTCTGCATTAGATTGATGCAATCAATAGCCTTCTCTGCTAGGTCATTCTGGACAAAACCAGTGATAATTACTGTCCATGTAAAGACATTTCGACTAACCAACTTGTTAAAAGCCACACAGGATTCTTCCATACACCCACATTTGGCATACATGTCCAAAAGGGCTGTCACAACATAGTCATTGCCATTAAGGTTGTTTTTAAAAACCTGAGCATGAACTTGCTTGCCAAAGCCTAAGTCTAAGTGGCTAGAGCAAGATCTTAAAACACTGATGAACGAATACATATTGGGTCTAAAACCTTCCACAAGCATCTGATAAAAAGTTCTGGGACCTGATTCACTATAATCATAGTCATGATATCCAGACAACAAAGAATTCCAAGAGATAAGATCTCGTCCTGCCATTGCCTCAAAGACACGGGCACCATCATGCACACAGCCATTTTTCATGTACATCCTGATGAGGGCATTACTTACTGAGATATCAGATTCAAACCCATATTTCAGAATACAAGCATGGATACTTTCTCCAATATGCAAGTTCCCCATTTCAGTGGAAGCACTGACAACACTCGCAAAGGTAAATTGATTTGGTTGAACATGCCTACGTCTCATCAAGTTAAACAGCTTGGTTGCTTCACTGTGATGCCCTTGCTGATCAAGGCAAGAGATCATAGTACTCCAGGACACAACATCATGATCTTCCATCATGGAGAAAAGTCTTAGGGCATCACCTACCAGCAAACAGGTTGAGTACATATCTATAAGATTGCAGGCCAAGAAATTATCTAGCTCAAACCCACTTTTGATTGCCAAACAATGCGCAATCTGGCCATTTCTCAGGTCTCCTGAATTCTCACAACCCTTTAGAACACTGGATAAGGTATATTTACTGAACTTCACTTCCGATTTTAGCATTTTTCCAAACAATCTAATAATTTCTTTGCCATGGCCCAATTGAGCATGGCGACTAAGCAATACATTCCATAAAACTTCGTTCTGCTCAGGCATGCAAAAGAACATCTTATCAGCGAGGCTTATTTCACCACATTTAGCATAGAGGTCAATTAGTGCAGACCCAATAAATGAATCAGATAATAAGCCAACCTTAATTGCTTCTGCTTTAACCTGTTTCCCAAAATCTATGTTCGCACACATACAACAGGCTCTCAAACAAGTGGCTAAGGTGAACTCATTGGGCCTTATACCTTCCCTACGCATCTCACAGAACAAATTTATACCTTCCCTGGCATTGCCTTGAGCTACAAAACCGTTAATCACTGTGGTCCAAGATACAACATCTTGTTGAGACATGTTAGCAAGCACCTGTCGTGCATAAGCTGGACAACCACATTTTGCATACATGTTAATGAGTGAAACCCAAAAGTGAGAATCTGGGTCCACCCCACTCCTTACCTGATGGCCGTGTACGGCCCTTCCCTCATTCAAAGAGTCTTTGAAAGCACAAGTATGCAGCCATGCTGAATACTGTTTAATCCTCTCCTTGCTATTCACATTCACAGGCTCCTCTTCTTTACTGTCCCTGTGAGACTCTGAATTGGTCCTTTTCAAACCAGGAACTCTTCTTCCAGGCATTGCCCATAAATTTTCAGTGTTAGCCTGACTCATTAAGCTTTGCCTATCCACAAAGGCTGAATTGCTTGTGCCCATTGCAACACTACATAAGGATTTGACACGAACCGTAACGTTAATATACTTGGAATTATTGAAAACCCTGCTGGGATGTTGAAGACAGGGTAGGCTCGGCATTTCAGAAGCAACAGCTGGATATTCCATCAAATCATTCGATTTTAATGAGCTGCACCAGAAACAACCAACAAAATATCAAACCATGAAAAGGACAACAAAGCTATAATCCAAAGGGGGAATCCGAACAGCATAAATATGAGAAATACAAGAGTTCCAACACAGAAAATAACTGGTTCTTGTCTTCCGTAGGGTGTTGAGCTTTGATAAAACGAATGGTTTCGGTAAAGGAGCACCTACCTAAGCGGCTGAGTCTGGCAAGACAGGTAAGTATAGAAGTCGAATTTGGTAATAGGCTTCGGTGCGCCGGGTGCTCAGAAGCAAAAATGACGTACAGTTTTGTGCTTTTCCCTCCAAGCTATTCTGTTAATAAAACGCTAGCAGTCTAGCAACTAGCAGGCAGAGTGGGACACTGGGACTCTGGGAGAGGCAGAGGCGCAAGCGAAGAACGCAAAATGAAGGTGAAGAAGACAATCGAATCTCTGGAATTTCAAACTAGGGAGTGAAGGAGAACGAAAGGCTGAGGCGCAGAAGGGGAAAACGCAGTGGCGTAGAGGAGCGAGAAGTTATAGCCGTCGATGTCGAGTGACGAAGACGGTGGTTGGCGTCGTTGCCGACTCGCCGTGGTGGATTTGCCGGTCTGGTAAAGCGCCGCTCAGGTGGGTATAGTAGAGTCTGATATTGAGGCGCGGAGACGGCAGCACGCTGGGTGGGAATAGCTGAAACCTTGAAGGAAGGCGGGACGCAGTTATTTTCTGTTTTTTTCTTTTTCTATTTTTGAAAAAGGAAAGATAATAGGGGCTTTTTTACCAATATAGATTAACAGTAAAATTATATACCAAAATGCTATACTTTTGAAACTATTTACCAATATACTGTACTTAAAATCGTTCTTGGCAAGAACGATTTTGAAATTACACACAAGTCGTTTTTGAAATTACACACAAGTCGTTCTTGGCGTGAGCGATTTCTGAAATCGTTCACGCTAAGAACGATTTTACTTTTTCTTGTTCCCTCTCCCACATACGAATCTCTGCAAATTTTACATGCAAAAATAAGAATCCTTGACAATACTCACATGAGGCTACAACGTCTATATTGGGTTAAAATTTGAAAATCTAATTTTTTTAATTTTTTAAATAGAGCTTGATGAAATTTTCTGTCATTTCCTCTTCTTTTTATTTTTCTCATACCAAACAATACGTAACAAAAAAAATTATGCTTTGATTGTAAATTTTTAATTGTAGCAATTAAGTTGCAGGACTAAATTATTATTATTATTATTTTGGTCACAGGCATAAAAGGTCCATCCAATACTTGATTTCTCGTCAAACCGAACAAATGCCACACGACAGGCTTTTTTACCAAAATACTACAAAAAGTAAAATTATATACTAATATGCGGTATTTTTAAAAATATTTACTAATATGCTACACTTAAAATCGTTCTTCAGGTGAATAATTTTTAAAGTCATTTATCTGCTGAACGATTTCTTCATAATTTATCCTTGATGTGCATGAAAGCTTGTGTAGCATTTATCTGCACTTAAAATCATTCTTGGTAAGAACGACTTTCAAATTACACACAAGTCGTTCTTGGCGTGAACGATTTTAAAAATTGTTCTTGGCGTAAACGATTTTAAAAATTGTTCTTGGCGTAAACATTTGTTAAATGAAGAAGTCGTTCAGCAGATAAATGACTTTAAAAATTATTCACCTGAAGAACGATTTTAAGTGTAGCATACTAGTAAATACTTTTAAAAGTACAGCATATTAGTATATAATTTTACTCTTTGTAGTATTTTGGTAAAAAAGCCAGTTGTGTGGCATTTGTTCGGTTTGACGAGAAATCAAATATTAGGCATAGACCTTTTATACCTGTGACCAAAATAATAATAATAATAATTTAGTCCTGCAACTTAATTGCTACAATTAAAAATTTACAATCAAAGCATAATTTTTTGTTACGTATTGTTTGGTATGAGAAAAATAAAAAGAAGAGGAAATGACAGAAAATTTCATCAAGCTCTATTTAAAAAATTAAAAAAATTAGGATTTTCAAATTTTAATCAATATAGACGTTGTAGCCTCATGTGAGCATTGTCAAGGATTCTTATTTTTGCATGTAAAATTGGCAGAGATTCGTATGTGAGAGAGTGAACAGGAAAAAGTAAAATCGTTCTTGGCGTGAACGATTTCAGAAATCGTTCACGCCAAGAACGACTTGTGTGTAATTTTAAATTGTTCTTGCCAAGAATAATTTTAAGTGCAGTATATTAGTAAATAGTTTCAAAAGTGCAGCATTTTGGTATATAGTTTTACTGTTTATCGTATATTGGTAAAAAAAGCCGAAAATAGGAGACATGTCAATAAAAAACAGGGACGTGTATCCGAATAAATTGGGCTTTTTTAGTTTTTTGCCAGTCAATAAATCGAGTATCTAAGCAAGATGATTTAAAATAACTTCATCCCTTAATTGTACACAACCGGGGGGGAGAGTTAAAATTAAATTTATTTCAAAAGTTTTCATTTGAGAATATTACGCATCCGCAAATTTGTTATGAAAGTTTAGTAATATTGTTTTCTACCATTTTGAAAAACTAACACAGTAAAATACTACCTCCGATCATAATTATAAGAGTCAGTTGACTAATTTAAGAAGATTAAGGAAGTAAGTTAAGTTAGTTATTTGTCCTAAATAGGTGTTGTCTTTCCTAAAATATCCTTGTTAATCAAGTTTATTGACTAGAATTATTATTGTTAGAAGGGTTACTTTGAAAAAAAATGTATAAATATGAGAGACAAAGTGGATTGGGGTCTTATATTTAGGATCAAAATAAAAGTCAAACAGTGTGTTATATTAAGGATCGGAGGTAGTAGTAAATTGACTTTTAAAATTTCTAATGATAAAAAAAATATTATTACAATTTTAAACTTTTAAAATTATTTTACACAAAAAAAAAAAATTTAAGCGCTTAGCGCTTCAAAGCAAAAATTTTCGAAACAAATTTCTTTCCTAACTTTTCTTTTGATACGCAATTAATTTGCTGCTTTTGGTGAGAATTGCTCTGAAAAAGCTGCGAAATTATCAAATGGGAATGGTTATTTGCTGGTTTGTCTAAACCTTGTAATATTATCACCGGAAAACCAATACTTGCTGGTATTTTGTTTTCAAAAAATAAAAAGTTTAATCAAAATACAAAATGCATTTAAATTTCATTTCTTTTCATATATTAGTATATGGTATTACTTATTATAGGGTCCCGGGGGGCAAGTTCGACGATATGTGTTCTCAATATTGTAATAGTCCAACAAAATGATGCAGATGGTGACTTTATTCAAACTCAAGCCAGTCTCTCATCAGAACATGTGGCTCAAGAATGGTTGAAGGCAATTGGTGGAACGAAAAATTCTGGAAGAATGGGTTCGGATCACTTGCTGCTGTAGCAATGTGGCTTTGCTAGGAAATCAATATTTAACATTAATGTCAATGGTCTTGTAAGTTGTAAGGTATGAAACCTCCTTTATAGTTGAGAAGTCGTAAATTAAATTCTATTTATAATTTTAAGCCATTAGTGTCTGTCTATTTAATAAAAATTAATACTCCTCCGGTTATTAATATAGGATCAAATTGTTGAGTTGGTTTTAATCTAAATATAAGACCCATTTCTCATACTTATCAATTTTCTCTAAATTACCCCTATAGATACTCTATCAACCATAATCAAGCAAAAGAGAGAGAGGTATTAAGAAAGATGATTATGGTGTTTTAGAAAAAATGTGTCACATTTCTTATAATCAACTAACTTACCTAACTTGTTTATTTTAATCAAATTAGTTAAATAGGACTTATAGTAAAAATCGAAGGAGTATTAATAATTTAATATTGTGCGTCTCCTCATCCTCCATCATCTCACATTGGATCAAAGGATGTCAGACACGAGACATTCTATAGAGCAAGATACATACTCTGAACTTTAATTATAATTGATATAATATGTATTGAAACTTTTGTCAGATCAATGCCATTGTACATTATGATTAGAGATTTGGACGAATGGTTGTGATTATGCAAGAACCAAAACATTGAATTTGATAGATGAGTGAGGGAATTACTGAATCTAATTGACTATTTAGTGATGGGAATAGTGAGAGACTTTAAAAATTTTTGACCCATTAGCAAGGAATTAAGAGGAGATTGAGGCTTCGCTAAATTAGTGAGGAATGTCACAACCTTGCTAAATCCCTTATCATCACTAAAAAAATGATGAAAGCCAATTGGCAAGGCACATAATTTGTCCCTAATCTACCATTGAAACGCTCAAAACCACTATATGAATAGTGAAGGAATAGTAAGGAAATTTGTCCCTTGCTAAAAGCAAAGGAACTAAATCCTTTGCAAAATATTACTTCCGGGCCTAATTATAAAACCTTATTTGTAGTCTGCAAACAAGATCTTATAATTAGAACCAGAGGTAGTAGTGAGGAAGTAGCATTCTATCACTATTATTTAGCGTTCTGTTAAATAGCAACAAAATTAGCCACGAATAATTCTGTCACTAAGTGCTGTTTAGTATGGGATAAATGTATTTTAGTGAGGGATTTGTCCCTTGCTAAATGACAGTTTTCAAGCAGTGAGCCATGAAACGCAGAGTTTTTAGTGTTAATTGGAGCTAGCACAGCGTGAAACATATCATGATTTATGAGTTACATTACAAAGCTAGTAATAGATACAGGAAAAGGAGTTTGAGTTCTCAGGGCGAAAGAGCTCTGGGAATGATGACATCCCCAATGTTGTTGTGCCATGGATCAGCCAAGTGAGTCGCCAAGTTCTCCAATGGCCCTGTTCCTGGGTATGCTGATTGCTGCACACATATCCCCACAAATGCCAACAAAGCCAAGCGCCCTACAACACATTGAACTCCCAACAAATCAATATCCAATACAAAATATGAACTTCATGCCAATTTTATCAGCTCACATAATGGTAATTAATGTGATTCATTTCTCATAATAATGATGCTTACCATTTTTTATTTCTTTGACTTTGTATTCTTGGAACTTGGCAGGGTCTTTAGAGTAGCCAAGAGGGTCAAAAGCACCACCAGGGTACTTCTTCTTCTCGGGGTCTTTCTCCATGCTGCGTTGGTGCTCCACAAAGGCTATGGCTAGGAATTCAATCACCAAAATGGTTGGCAGGGTACCCCATGGAACTGGGTTCCCCAAGTAAGTCGCTTGACCTCCTGGAACTGCTGCCCATCTCTGAGCTTCTACCCAGTTCCCTAATCCCATTGCTTCTGGTACCAAGATCCCTGGCTGCCCAATTATATACCCATTCAGTTACATCAGAAATATGAATGTATTCATAAGAAAACTACTTTGCAGTCTTAAATAAACAATCTAATCACTAAAAAATCCCCTGATTTGTCAATATATCATGACATGATGTCACCTCCTACACCAATCTTGTCATCGCCATGCTACTAAATAGTGAGATTGTTTTAGAGATCAATTGTTTACACGCGACTGCAAAGTAATTTTCCCTATATTCATCCATTTAAACCTTTATTTCATAATAATTATTTCTGTTGTTTTAATTTAGTCCAAGATCCAAGAAATAGCTCTGTTTCTGCATCGTCGTGAAAACTTACCACGGCAAGCATAGCCCATCTGCAGTGGATGAGCTCAGATTCTTTGTATCTCTCGAGGTTCTCCGGCACTTCCCCTAGACGAAGAGGGTCAAATCCGAAGTCACTGGAAAACATCCAAACACAATACTACTCATCATCCAAGTTAAATTCCAGTCGTCAAGAACATGGAGCTAAAAACAACGCTAAGTCTCTCAACTTCATATGATCACCGTCGATTCGAACATTCCATCAACGTTGTATAAACTGAAAATACTTTATATATCTTGAGGGAAAGTGGAAAATCGGAGCGTACCCAGGGGCTGAACCGTCGAGGTAAGGAGGTCGGGGCTGGCCGGGCATCCAGTCGGCGGTCATGGTGAAGCGAGAAGAGGAGGCGACGGAGGCACCGCCGGGGAGTGGGATTGCGGCGGCGAATTTGGATTTAGATGAAGAAAGCACGGAAGGGAATGAGGAGGCAGTGGCAATGCCATAGCTCATCAATGTGTTGGAAGCCATTGATTCTCAGACGGAGTAGAGAGAGAAAGAGCAAGAGTGAGAGCCGAGAATGAAGGCTATGAAGGGAAAACGAAAGTATATGAGGCAAGGAGGGGGATAATAGGCAAATCCAAATGTGGGTTTTTATTGGGTGATGCTGCTAGCCATTCGCTTGTTATTGGTCCACGTGGAAATGACATCCGGCCTGGTTGTCCACGTGGCGTACCGTGTGGATATATCTGGGCCCTTCTTGTGTGGTTGAGGATTAACGACTCATCCAAAAAAATCAACTAGCTTGTCTATTCTGGTCCCATTTTATCTTTTTTGTGATACATGAGCATTCTTAAATGCTTAAATTAAATGGACCCTCGTTCAAAAATCTTCTGATTTTTTAATGCGGCAACGACGTTGTGGAATGCAGTTACTGATAAAAATAATAATATAAATATGGGGAGATTAAAAAGAAAACAATATAAACCTTGGATTAGAAATAAACTTTGGTATCGCAGGATTAGAGAATTGATAACGGTTATATAAATGAGTGGTGAGTCCATTTAAAGTTAAGTTATTTTGGCGCAAGTGATGAGTTTGAAGCGAGTAATTAAAGTAGATCTTGTATATTATTGCCCGTCCTAATTATAAGATTTCATTTATAATATATAAACAAAACCTTATAATGAGGACCGGAAGTAGTAGTATTTACCCCATGATCTTAACATAGAAATTAGTTAGGATTGAATTTGTTTTTAAATATAATATTTCAATTCACTTTGTCTTTTATCTTTTTTAAAATATCTCATTGATTATAAGGAGTTGCTACCAAAAGATAATTCCAATTATCTAATGTATATAATTGAAGAGGATGGTTTAGAAAAATCAATACAACAAATAACTAATTTAACTAATTTTTTTAATATCCTCAACTTAGTTATTTAACTCTTATATTATGTCAGATTGTTAATATAAGAGTTAGTTGACTAACTTAACAAACTTTCTTAATCCATTCAAATTAATTCACCAGCTCTTATATTAAAAACTGAAAATAATAATTTATTTTCTCTGATGCTTTCTGTTGCCATGAAAGTTTGCTTAATATGAAATTATTTCACCTGGGACCTGGGTGTTCCTATAATAAAATTTCTTGAAATAGAACTAATTTTTCACAATCTATAATATAATTTCTAAAAAATAATTTTGAATAATAGATTTTGTAAAAAAAAAAGAAGGTAATTTTGATAAAATTAAGAGTGTTTAAATGGTTATTATCCAAATTAATTTTTTATCTGTAAATTACTGAAAAAATATAAATAATAAATAAATAATATATATGCGTTCATAATATGCACACACCAAGCAAATCATGGTTTTCCACCCAAAAAATAGAAAAAGGGTGGCTTCATGAAAAATCATGGTTTAAGCTTTGAAACCATGGCTTTTTGGATGATTAATCAATTATTGAATTTTATGATGTGTTTTCATGGTTTTTTCTCCGGAACTATAATTTCAAGAAGCATCCAAATAGCCCCTTGAATAATTTCTTTTCTTTGTTTTTTTTTTCCCGGGCTGAGGCCATGGTTTACCCTTTAGAAGTTGAGCCCTACGCGTTTAAATGACTGGTGAGCAAATGACTTCATCAAATGATCATGGGGCACGCAGGTATCATGTATTGGGTAAAGCCTCTCTTCCAATCACTGGATGCAAGCTTCTATTTCTTGCATAACTCTGGAATACTCCACGCGCTGTATAGAGGTTTGGCTATATAATGGGTGGTTTGGTTTAGGGCTACATATAGGTAGGGTTGGGCAGAGCAGGACCCTTGTCCGATATCCAGCCCGAAAAATGAACGGGCTGAAAAATACAGCCCGCTGCCCGGCCCTGCCCTGCCCATGAAAAGCCCTATTAAGTTTGGGTTAGGCAAATACGGGCTAGGCAGGACGGGCTTTCATGCCCAACAAATCAATATACTATATTAATTAACTAATTATTTATCTTCTTCTAAATAATCTAATGTAACTTTATATTAAAATGGCAACTTGGCCTTAATTTTGTTATTACTAATTAATATACTATGAAACTAGTTTTTGTAATAGCTAGGAGGAGTGGACTATGACAAAAAATTGTTGTTTGTATATTTTATTAAACTTAATTATTTTTCTAGTTTCTAACTCTCAAAACCATTCAAAAATAAATAAGTATAATGAACAATGCAACAGTGCATTTGATTCAGGAAATAAATATGAGGCAAATAAAATATATATAAATAAAATATATATATTTTTGCAGGTAGGGCCAAATGGGCAAGGCAGCATACCATGCCCAGTGCCCAGCCCTGCCCAACAATTTGCCCAGCTCGAACATGCCCAATAGTTCTTTCGGGCCATCTTTTTTAGGACAGGCAGGGTATTTTTTTGCTGGTTTGGGCGGGCATAACGGGCAACCGGGTTTCATGAACACCCCTAGTTTGGTTTTCCTAGTTAACAAGGAAAAACACCAATACAAAAAACTAATTTATAGATATTAAAAAAATATTTAAATTACTTATTAATAATAAAAATATATTGATTTTTTAAAATTCTGTATGTATAATGTAATAAGGATCAGTTGTGAGGAAAAAAACCTACAAATTTGATACACAGATATATTAAAAGACCAGACCAAACACCATAACCATTTCTTATATTTAAGATTGAAGAAAGTATACATTTACACACGTATAAATTTTTTGTTTAATATACCTTTTTTGTATGAAAGTTGGAATCATTATACTATTATTTAGTATTAAAGACAAAAAATCATTAAAATTTGGGGTTCAATTAATTTAGAAAAAATTTAAGGAAAATCTCCCATTAAAAATTTTATTGGTAAGAAGGGCTTGATGAATTTTATACCCATAAAGTAGCACTAGCATCCTACAAATTCGCACACAAAACCAATATTCTGAATTAATTCCTTCTCACCAATAAAATTTTTATTGCAGAGTATTTGGCTATTTTTTCAATTTTTTATTCTAAGGGTTAGATGTATTTTTTTTACAAAATTATAAAATATTATCTTCACTTTTTAATATAATAGCTAGTTAGCTAATTTGAGAAGATAAAAAATTAATTAATTTAGTTATTTATAATAAATAAGTGTTGTCTTTTTTAGAATACCTTTACTAATCATATATATTAGCTAGATTTATTATTTGACGAAATCTTTAACGCATGCAATTAATACAATAACTACTTTAAAAAAAGATAAATCTAAAAATCAAAATATATTAGGGTTTTATATTTAAAATTAAATTAAAATTTAACCTATAAGAAGCAGGGGTCGCAATTGAAAATCACAGCTTCCGACAATTCCACTCAGGATGTTCATCTCATTTCTCAAGTTTTGAAGGCGGGTTGCTTTTAACTTCTTGAGAATTCTTAATTTTTGCGAAAAACTAAACTAGACCAAGAGGGTATTTGGGTAAGGTTAAAACTATAGTTTTAGAAATACTTTTATAGTATACGAAGTAAACATGTAGAGAAGTTTATCTCGATTTGCGAAAAATATTTCTAAAAAGTGATTATTCGGATATCCAAACACCTCCCAAAAACTGTATTTGCACGTTAGATTTTGTGTTGGAGAATATTAAAACTATTATCTCCGGTCCTTAATATAAAAGTTAGTTGACTAATTTGAGTAGATTAAGAAAACTAGTTAGGTTAGTTATTTGTAATAAATAGGTGTTGTCTTTCTTAAAATATCCTTATTAATCAAGTATATTGGTTACAACTGCCATTATTATATGAATTACCTTAGAAAAATAGATAAATATGAAAGATAAAGTAAATTAGGGTCTTATATTTAGGATTAAAATGAAAGTCAAATTGAGCTCTTATATTAAGCACAAATAGTATGACTTTGCGAAACTAACCGTGGTCAGCATATTTATGGTCCGTTTGGATTGGCGGTGAAAAAAGTAGTTTATTTCTAACATGACTTTTAGAAAAATAAGATTGGGTAAAAGTTAAATTGGATAAGGTGAATTCTATTTGGGTTGGAGTTTTAAAAAGTTAGTTTGTAAAAGTGAGATTGGTAAAAAATTGTTTGGATTATGATTGAGTAAAAATAAGCTTATTTGAATATATAAAAAACCCATATTTTGTCTTTTTCTCTCATTTTTTTTAACTCTATAAGCTGCAATTTTTAGCTTTTGGCTTGAGTATGTGATTTTGACATAAAATCTTAATTTTCTGAACTCTTCCAAACACACTCACACATATTAAAAGCCAAAAGCTACTTAAAAGCCACCTAGGGTCCGTTTGGATTAACGATTAGAAAAGTAGTTTATTACTAATTTAACTTTTGAAAAAGTAAAGTTGGATAAAAGTTAAGGAGGTGTTTGGGTGAAATTAAACCATGGTTTGGAGAATAGCTTATGAAGAATAGATTCTTTGAAGAATGGATTTTGTGAAGAATAGATTCTGATAAAGTGAGAATGTTTGGATAGTTGTTATCAGAAGCACTTTTTATATGTGCAAATTATTAAAAAAAGCATAAGTTAATATGATAATTACATAAAAGATAGATTTTATAATATATTTTAATTTGAGGGAATAAAATTGTTAATAATATATTTTTTACCAATATAATTAATAATATATAAGATAATATATTTAATAAATAATTAATAGGTATATATATTTATAAAATATAAGATTAAATATATTTATAAAAAAATAATTGAGGGGTGATAAAGTCATATTTTCGTTGAAATCTACTCTAACAGGTACAATCATACTCTCCAATTTGAGCTAGAAGCAGAATAAATTTACTTCTTCTGAAACCATCATTTTGAGCCCAAAACCGCAGTTTATTAATTTCCCCTCCTATTTGGGACCAAGACCATGGTTTAGGTCCCAAAAACATGGTTTCATCATATTGCCAACTAGGTCCTAAATTGGATAAGCTAAATTGTGTTTGGATTGGAGTTCAGAAAAATTAATTTGTAAAAGTGATATTGGTAAAAAGTTGTTTGTATTATGATTGAGTAAAAACAAGTTTGGTTACAAATGATCAAAATGGGTATGAGTTTTGATAGATAATGAAAC